TTTTGCATATTTGGAAAAATTATGATACTTTCCTTGAGGAACACCTTGAATCTATACCTGAATAAATGGAGAGAGAAGGAGATACATGTGCAATTCTTATTTTGTGACAGCAGGGAGGCATGTTGTGGACGGAATATCAGCATAGTGAGTATTTTTAAATGGTACATTTACTTCCGTGGGATCGCTGAGGATATGGCTATCCATGCTGAGTCATGCCTTAATTAGATGTAGTACAGGCTCAGGTTCAAGTCTAATACTCTGTTAGAGAATGTGGTCCCATTGCCTCCCCACCCCCACCCCCACATTTAACAATCCTCTGTTTCAATTATTTGTTAAAACATTTTTTTTTTCTTTCTGAAAAACATCTTTCTATTCTGGGGTGGGAGGGATGCGAAGGTATATTCTTAAATATAATTAGCTATTTGTTGAAGTCTATTACTGCCCTTACACGTTTTTGAAAAGTAAAGTAAAAGGCAGCAAGAAAACGTGATAGAACTCGAGCTAAGGGCAATATATGCCAATTCACACCACAGGCTCGGAACAGTGCTAGCAATGATTTAAACACCGTGGACTGCCAAGAGGACAAAGCCAATCTGTCATGAATTAGTCAGGTCAGAGCGCCTCCTTAGAGGTAAAAATGGAAGGCCGTGTCTTACATACTTCGGACAACGTATTGTGAGGAGAGACCAGTCCCCGGAGAGGGAGCTCGTGCGCGATGACGTGGAGGGGCAACAGAAGAGAAGAAGGCCCTCCACGAGATGGTCCACACAGTGCCTGCAACCTCGGGCCCGGCGTCGGAAGAGCCGTGAGGACGGTGCAGGACCGGCCATGCTTCTTTCCGTCGCACTGCGAGTTCGCTGGGCTCAGAAGCAAGCCGACGGCATCTAATAACAACAACGTCTAATTAAAATGGTCTCGATAAGAGGAGAGAAGATTTGATACAGAGAGGAGAAAAGACACAAAGGGAACTCACCGAGGTGGCAGAGATTGGAGTGAAGGGATCAGAGGTTCAAGATGGGTGCTTATCACCAGAGCTGGAGGAGGCAGGCATAGATGGTCCCATAGAGCCTGTGAAAGGAGCCTGCCCTGCTGACACCTATTTCCAGCCCTTTTACACTGGTCTTGGATTTCTGGACTCCAGATTTGTAAGAGAATGCAATTGTGTTATTTAAGCCACCACGTTTGTAGCTTTTATGATGTTAGCCACAGGGATTAATACGGGTGATTTATGAGAAAGTCCACAAAATGAAATATTTAACATGAATTCTTCAGTACATCTTAAAAGAAACAAAATTGGGTTTTAAAAGGTGTCGAAGGGATCAGGTATAAGGCATCATCAGAACAAAAAAATCTTACCATAGTGAATGATGGGGGGAGTGCGGAGTGGAGATCCAAAGCCCCTTAGTAGGCCACTGGAGATCCCCTTGCAGAGGGGTCTCGGGGAGGAGATGAGCCAGTCAGAGTGCGATATAACAACGATGAGAAATACAACTTTCCTCTAGTTCCTAAATGCTTCCTCCCCGCTCCCACTACCATGACTCGAATCCGACCTTGCAAGTCTGGCTAGACCAGAGGATCTACGCTGGTACAGATAGGAACTGAAAATACAGGGAATCCAGGACAGATGAGCCCTATAGGACCAGTGGTGTGAGTGGCGAAACAGGGAGGGTAGAGGGAGAATGGGTAGGAAAGAGGGAACCAATTACAAGGAACTATATGTGACCTCTTCCCTGGGGGACAGACAACCGAAAAGTGGGTGAAGGGAGACTCGGACAGGGCAAGATGTGGCAAAATACCAATTTATAAACTATCACGGGCCCATGAGGGAAGGGAGAGTGGGGAGGGAGGGGAAAAATGAGGACCTAATGTCGGGGTTGTTTAAGTGGAGAGAAAATGTTTTGAGAATGATGTACAAATGCGCTTTACACAATTGATGTGTGTATGGATTGCGATAACAGTTGTATGAGCCCCTAATAAAATGTTTAAAAAATAAATAAAAGATCGTTTTAAAAAAAAGTAATATTATGATAGGGACAATATATTTTACGATAATTAATTTGGACCATATAACTTAGAAAATATATTTCTGCTCTGTTTATATCTGTGTTCTAGTTCTGTTTTTATCCTGCTTTCTGTAGGAGGCAAGACATTTCTCCTTGACTGTCCCGTCATTCTTTGCTTGCTTTCCCACACCAAATGTCCACAGTAATAGTGGGAAACATCTGTCCGATGGTTTCTATGCTGTCTACTGTAGCTATAAGCACTTATGTACATTATTATCAGATCTTCACAACAACTTCAGGAGCTACCTAGGTACCATTCCAGACCTTGTTACACAGATGGGGTACCTGAGGCAATCATAAGTAGCTTTTTGTAAGCAGGCCCCTCATATAAGTGGTGTAGTCCATATTCTAACTCTTCAGCCCGACAAGAGGTATGTATTTGTGATCACCGCACGAGGCAGATGCCTCTTAGCGTCACAGAAAGACACGAGACCCCAAAGGAAGCCTCCTCCTTAGGAGGCAACATCATATGAAGTGTCTTAACATCACTGCTGGGGGTTGAGGAGGAGGTGAGCTTAAGAAACTTTATGTTGCTTGTCTTCTTAATATTTAGCGAAATCTTGAAAGAGAACGTGTAAATAACAGTCGTGTAGTACTTTACAGTTTTTTGCTTGTACTCTCTACAGCTTGATTTGTAAGGTAACTGTGCTGTATGAACACTCATTTACTGAATTGCGAAGCGTATGAATCAGTGAATTCGTGTTTACCAATTTATAGCTAGATGAGGAAGATTCATTTTGGATAATCAGTGTCTTTCTCATCACATTCAGTATCTTTGAACTGCTACTGTCTTTTAACATGAGGAGACATTTGTATCTTACTGTGGGTTGGGATTTGCAGGAGCTCTTCACCATAATCCAAGACCTGTGTGGCATGTTCTCAGTGTCTTGTCATGCAGCAGTAGTCAGAGCCATGCTTTCAGGAGCCCATTTGTGCTCTGGGAAGGTTGAATCACAGAGGCAGTAGACCCTGTAGTCACCTACCTCTCATACAAATGAGCTAAAATCAGTCACGGTGTTGAGTGACAGATGCCAAAGCCAAGTGGCCCAGGATTTCTTCACCTTGATCCTCTACTATATATTTTTAATTTATTTAGTGAGCAGGTTTTGTACCTGCTGTCTAATTCTTTCTTTTTTTAAATCATTTTATTGGGGGCTCTTAGAACTCTTATAACATTCCACACATCAATTGTATCAATTGTACATATGTTGCCATCCTCATTTTCTAAACATTTCCTTTCCGTTTGAGGCCTTGGTATTAGCCCCTATTTTTCACCACCCCCCCATGATCCTCTACTATGTTTACAGATGCTTCTCCTTGTTTACCCATGAGACCTCTCTTTGTCTCTCTCAAACCCAAGGCATCCTAGCTGAAAGCCATCCCCTCCCCCCACTGCCCTACTTAACATAGTTCCTTTTAGGGAGGCATGTAGGAAATATTCATATGCATTAGAGGAAAAATGTAATTTCTTTCACCAAAACACAAATTACACTATTTGTTCAAGTATCTACCTTTTCAGTTAAGAAGTATATTCCTTTCTCACTTTATGATTGCTATAGTACAGTTAATATTTTTAAATCGTAGATAAAATTGTCTTAAATATCAGAATGGAGTTTGGGAAATTTTGGCATCATCACTTGATGAATAATAAATAGCCATATCTTAAACATTATGTATTTAAATGGATTGTGCTTATGTAACTGTCTCTTTTTTAACAGGGAAACATTGAAGAAGCAGTGCATGCATTTGAAAAACTAGTACACAAGTATCCACACAGTCCACGGGCAAGATACGGGAAGGCACAGGTATTCTGAAACCCTTCTGTTTAAAAAACCTGATTTATTTGGTGTCTGTGGGTTCCACATGCTGGGACGTTTTTATTCCACACTTTTTCCTTTCCCCTGGTAATTTCTTTACAAAATCCATTTCTCATTTATACATATTCATAAAACCAAAGAAGAAAAACCTTTGACAAACAAGACAATTAAATATTGCTATTGTTTTTTGCTAAATTTAGTAATGTTTCACATGCACACACACATCTGATCTCTCTCTTCCTTTGAAAATGAAGATGAGCACTTTGTCAGAGAATTCCTGTCACATGGGGACTGGCACGGCAGGGTCAGAGCTCACTGAGAAGGTGCTCTCAGAGTAAAGCACCAAAATTCTTTATAAATAAATATACACCTAGAAAATAAGTTTAAAATAAGTATATTTTTAGCAAAATATTGTATTCTGTAAAGTAAAGAAAATAGAATAAACCTTATATCTCATAAGAGTTTGTTACTGCAGGTAATGTGATTGAAAGTGATAAGGCAGATGGCACTTATGATAAGGTAGTCACTAAGAGCCTCTCAAGGGAGGTGACATCTGGCCTGAGAATTGCAATAATTGCAGCAGGAGTGTCTGCAGGTAGAGGAAAAAGCAAGCATCAAAGTTGTGCTTTGGTGCAGTGAAGAGATTCAGGGTGTAATGAGCTTGGCAGACAGAAGGATATCATCAGGAAGGGTAAAGTGGCTTTCCTTTATCCCCACTGTCCCAAGAAGCCACTGGAGAGTTTTATGCCTGGGAGAAACCTTTTTAGTTGTGTAAAAAGATTTCTGTGGTTGCTGGGTGAGAACAGATTGTGGCAGCGGGAATAGCAGGAAGTAATTGCAAGTGTTCATGAGCGATGAGGGTACCATGAAGTAGGGTTATGGTGTAGGAGATGGAGAGAAATGGACAGGTGTTCGAAATGAAAGGACTTGGTGGATTTGATGTAAGGGCACGAGAAAGAAAAGAATCAAGAATGACTCAGAGAGTTTTGGTGTGATCAGTTGAGGAGTGGATGGTGACATTTGCTAACCAGGGAGCCTGGGAGAGGAGCAGGCTTGGAAAGGAGGTGTGAAAAGATCAAAACTACTCATTGCCCGAGTTTGTGATATTCTTTCTGCATACAAATGAAAATGTCACAGAGACTATTGGACTTTTAGAGTCTGAATCTCTAGTAAAAGTCAAGCTTGGATCTATCTGTGTGTCAGGCAGTCAAGTTCGTATGGAGCTACCACCTTGTGAAAAAACTTGTCAGCTCTCCTGGACACAGCAAATACTGAAAGTTCTCACAACTAGGAAGAGGCTGGGCACATAGGTTTGGAAGGAGGACCATGCAGGCATGAAACACAAGCACTGGCACTTCTACGGATGAAGCAAGAATGCTTTGCGCTGACTGTAGGGCAGCAGCTGCTCAACAGCCAGATGCTCAGATTCTTCCTTTCTGCCCAATAAAGAGTCATAATTATTTTATTTACTAAAATATAATGAATTTATTTTCAGAAAAGTTAATGAAATAGTGAGAACAACTCACAAAATTTAATGGACCTTAAAAAAACATCTGTTACTTGCTGAAGACATAAAAATTCTCATAGCCTCAAGAAGCACAGTTAGAATCAGTCTGATGTAGATAAAATGTACTTTGAAATATGGAAGAGTTGAATAAATATAAATAGAAGCTCCCACAAAAATAAAGTAATGCTAATTGATTTTCATTATCTATGATTAAGACCAGGCTTAGGAGGCAGTAACTATATATTTTTGTCAATTAATGTGGTAATCCTCCAAAATTACCAAATTACATTACTATTAAGCGGGAGTGGTTGAGTTTGTTACCAAAGGATCATCCCTATTCAAATAAGCGATATATTTTGTTATTAGTATGAATAGTCATTTCATGAAGAAATACATACTAACTATATAGAAAAATATATGCAAATACAAATTCCGTTATACCAAAAATGTATTCTCCTTTGGCATTTTTCTTTATATTATTTATCCTAAATAAATTTAACAGTTTTTGAAATGACGATTGCTATATTTAATGTGCTTGTTTAATAATGGAAAAAGTTTTGGTCTCAGGAAATATTTTCATCTCTGAACTGTAATAAGGTGATATTGATATTAGCAGTAGATATTAGATATATGTCAAGTGTCATTCATTTCTACCTGGCTGACACCTTCACTTTCCTCCTGCTGGGCCTCTCTTGAATTCCTGACCTCTGCATGGTTTCTGCCTTTAAATACTGTCTGTATGTTGGACACTTCCCAAATGGGTATTCCTATATCTGGCCTTGCTGTGAACTCCACTCATATGTGCAAATTCCTGTGCAGTGTTTCCACTTGGATATCTGCTGATTAGAACAAACACCCCTCCCTGCCACCCTCCCTCCTCCCCACCAAAAAAATCAACTACTGCTATAAAGCTGATTCCAATTCACAGGAATGTATAGCATAGAGTAGAACTATTCCATGGGATTTCCTGGACTGTACATCTTTAAAGGAGTAGACAGCCTCATCTTTCTCTTATGGAGCAGATGGTGGATTTGAACTGCCAACTGTGTAGTTTAGCAGTGCAGTGCTTAACCCACTGCACCACCAGGGATCCTTTGGATATCTGATGGGCATTTGAATATAATATGTTCTGAACAGAGTGCTTAAATTCATACCCTCTAAACCTGACATGACAGCTAAACATCCCGTTAATAACGGAAAGGTTGGCAGTAAGAACCCAACCACTGGCTCCCTGGGCAAAAAGACCTGGCGATCTGTTCCTGTAGGGTACATTCTAGAAAACCCCAAACACAGCTGTGTCATATGATGCTACCATGAGGCCCAATGGATTCAGTAGCACCTAACAACAATAGCAAAACTGTCTGACCTGTCTTCCCATTCTCTGTGGGTGACAGTTCCTTCTATTCATCGCTCAAGACAAAATCCTTAAATTTAACTCTTACTTCTCTCCCTTTCTCTCATTCCCTACATTCTGTCTATCCACGAATCTATTAGCTGTGACCTTCCTAGCATGTCTATAATTCAACCACTTTTACCACCTCCATTGCTCCCACCCTAGTCTGAATATCATAACCTCATACCCAGATTCCTGCCAGAACGTCCTAACGTCTGATTCCACCCCTAACCCCTCAATTTATTCTGTCAGTGTAATCTCTGTGACAAGCCTCTCCTTCTATCCCATGTAGAGTTAGTGCCAAAGAATTTACAATAATTTGTTGTTATTGTTGTTTTCTTAGCTGTTGTTCGCTGATGTCATGTTAATCCCATGCACAATGGAAGAAAATCCTGCGTCATCCCTGTGATTGATTGCTGACAGGACTCTTGTGATCCATAGGCTTTTCAATGACTAGTTTTTCAGACCTATTTCTGAAGTTCATCTGAAGTTTCTTTCTACTTGTCTCAGTCTAGAGGCTATACTAAAACCTGTTCAGCTTCATGGCAACATTCAGGCCTCCAATTATAATATCATGTATGAGATACATTAGCTACAATTCCAAATCAAGTCTCCTATGTGGCAGTCCAAATTTCTGCCACTATCTCCTCTATGGAAGTCGAGAATTCTACCACTGAACCAACAATGCTTCATGACAATATCTTATCAGGCCTTGCGTTACCTGATGTCCCACTCTCCTCTTACCCCCCAATTCACGGTATTGACCTCTGCTCTTCACTCACTCTTCAGAGCATTTCCTCTTATTGATCTTCATCTGAGATGCTTTTCCTCAAAATACCCTCATGCCTTATGCCCTCACTTCTTTCAGGTCCTCCTGATTTTCCTAATTAAACTAGCAATGTTGTTACCCATACCCTCCAGCACTCCCAGAGCTGCGTTGTTTTTATCCACAGCACATGTGATTTTCAAACACAAGCTATCTTTATTTGTATATTGTCTTTTCATCCACTCCAGTATATAAGGGAAATAAGTTGTCTTCCATATGCCTAGAACAATATCTGACATAGGGAATGCTACAGTAAATGGTTGAGTGGATGAATGAACAAAATTATCCCTGGCTCTGAACTAGAGTCCTTTCTACTACAGGCATATCTCAGTTACTGCATGTTCTATTCCAAATGACCATAATAAAGTGACCATCATAATAAGCAAGTAACAAGATATGCTTTCCCAGTGCATTTTAAGTTATATTCCATTGCATATAATGTAGCCCATTACGTGTGCAATAGCATTGTGAAGAATTTTGAAATATTGTGAGAATTACCAAAATGTGATAGAGGGAACACGTGCTATTAGACAAAGGCACCGATAGACTTGTTCTACATAGGGTTGCCACAACCTTTAATTGGTATTTAAAAAACCCCACAATTTATATGCAAATTGCAATAAAATAAAGCATGCTTGTAATGTTAATATAAAATATGATATAAATCTGCAAGCATATGTTATTCTTTTATGATGGTTTTTCCCATCTGTAACTTAGTAGCTAATTTTTCTTCATATTATTAAAATAATGTGTTGCTTTCTTTTGTTTATTTTTCTTTTATCTCTAATAAGAGAAAAACATGAATGGTTCTTTTGACTTACTTTGAAAGTATGCTCAAAGCCTACCTGTTAGAGTACTTGGAGTAATTACAAGCATCGCTAGTCAGGTGACATGTATTCAGTGTGAGATTTCCTTTAGTGTGAAGACGATTTAGCCGAGAAGAGGAGGAGCAATGAATTGCTGCAGGGGGCCATTGAGACCTACCAGGAGGTGGCCAGCCTGCCCGATGTCCCCACAGACTTAGTGAAGCTAACTCTGAAGCGGCGGTCAGACAGACAACAATTTCTAGGTAAGGAGGAATAAGAGTTCTTTCAGCAGGATATTCCATGATTTATCTTGTAGACTCTAAGATAATGTATACTTTTATAGTTAAGTTGCATGGGACGAACCAGAATTTTATAACTAAATCATTTGGTAAATTTTGGTGTCATTGTGGAGTAGGCATTGGGCTGCTAACCACAAGGTCGGCAGTTTTAAAATCACCTGGTGCTCCTTGGGTGAAAAATAAAACTGCCCGCTCCCATAAAGATTTATAATGTCAGAAGCCCTACAAAAGTTGGAGTTAAAGGTGTGGGCGTGGTGGTGCTATTTTGGGGTGTTATACTGACCATCTCTAAAATGAAACAGCACCTTGAACCTAAATCATTACAAAGAGCTAGATTAGGTTTTCACCTTTCCTCTTACAGGTGAGGAAAATGAGATGCTAAGAAATTAGATCAGCTGCCTAAGGAACCATGGATAATATAGGAATAGGTCTGTAATCGAAACCTGGGCCTTAATCAATGGAAGTTGAAATTACCAGGGAAAAGAATGTTAGGAGCTACAGACACTCTCAAAATTTTGCTCGTGAGATTTAATTTCATACCAAGAAAAATATTGGAGGAAAATTCACCACAAACTAAATTTACAAAGGTTTTGCAGAGTAGCTTGGAACATCTTCTCTGAGGCCCTCATGTCCAGTGCCAGGGCCACGTGAGCGAGCAGCTTTCTTCATTGGAGATGCATGTCAGCAGCTCCACACCGTCCTGCGTGTCTCGGTGCCCTTTCCATGATGCTAGACCCTGTGTTAGACATTAGAATTGTCTTCTATCATCAGTTTAAACATGAGATGCCAGAAAACAAGAATCAGTGTATTGATAAGTAATTGGTAACCAAGTTTCCAAAAAGGAAATGTAACATAAAAATGTAAATGTTGATAAGTGCAAAAAGTGAAAATGTCTTTGAAATGTTTATGATTATTATATTTGGTATTTCTTAAAGTAGAAATTGATACCATTGCAACTGTAATTAAATCCTAATACTTACCCATTATTATATGAAGTCAGGTTTAAGCTGGTATTCAAGCCTGTTACAGCCTCTCATGGTTTGTGTTTGTGGTACGAAAATATATAGTCTGTTTTTATTTCCAGTGGCTTTTTTTCTTCTTTCCACCAAATCAGGTCACATGAAAGGTTCCCTGATGACCCTACAGAGATTAGTTCAATTATTTCCTAATGATACTTCTTTAAAGAATGACCTTGGAGTGGGATACCTCTTGATTGGAGATAATAACAATGCCAAGAAAGTTTATGAAGAGGTAAACTGATTTTATATTAACTAAGATATTATTTTGATTGTTAAGTTCTAATTTTATTTATCAATTACATTAAATATACCCAAACTCTCATTCTACTTATTTTAAATGAAGTTAAACACCAAGTAAGTATTTTTATAGTTGACATAATGTCCATTTTGCTTATCATGGGTTTCTTTTTCCTCTTTGATCAGAAATGGATTTCATTTTAGTTGTTATGTGCTGTGGGGCTGATGCCAATTCACAGTGCCCTATGCGACAAAGTGTAGGTGTCCTATCGACTTTCCTAAGCTGTTATCTTTACAAAAGCATATCACTAGCTCTTTCTCCCTCATGTCTGGTGCCATTATTATGTTGTACTTCCATGTGACACTATCATTGTCTTTGTGTGAATCTGCCTCCCTGACGTAACTAGGAGCTCCCAAGAAAATACAACTTCTTCATATTTATTTGTTTATGATCTTGAAGCATCCTGCTAGGAGCATCCATATTCTAAAATATCCATTAAATGAATAGATTTAGTCATCAATGGAGGCGATGGTTGTACACCTGCAATCAGTCAGGATGTCATCTGTGGTTATGGCCATTGTAATAACCGCTTCATAGCTACACCAGCAGAAACGTGATGGAGCCGAATCCACTTTAATTCCTAAGGGGTTGTTGTTGAGCTGCAGCAGACTAACTTAGTAATAATTGTCATGGAAAGCCTGGACCAAAATCAAGTTCATGCTTTAGAGATCTAGATTTGGAGAAACTCCCGACGTACATCTAGTATTCATTTATTGCAGATCTATCGAGCACCTGCTATTTGCTCGGTGTTGTTCTGGGGACTGAGGATCAACTGTGAGCAAAACAGACAAAATCCTCATAGGATATTTTTGTAGGGGAATGTGTGTGTGTGTGTGTGTGTGTGTGTGTGTACACCATATCATGAGTCGAGAAAAAAGAAGAGAATGGCAACTGATGGGAGTCAGGAGGTCTGTGTTGCGTCAGGTGCTTAGAGCAGGCTTCATTGACCAAGAAGTTGGTTGTGATGGAATGAACTGTTTGGATGTATGGGGAAGAGAGTATAAAGCAAAGAGGTTCCAGAGTGCCATGGTGAGCGTGACTTTGGCTTGCTGTGGGGCCCTGAGGAATCTAGGTGGATTTCGCGATAGGTGAGGAGGAGGCCAGCGGCGTGAAGACATTAGTTTAACACAGGCCTTGGAGATCTTTCCAAGGACCTTAGCTCCCACTGCGAGTGAAATGGATCCTTGAGGTGCTGTGAACAGTACTCCTTTTAAAGCTTCCCCTGACCCCCTGTCCTAAATCCCAATAACCACTAATATACTTGTTCCTATGCATATTTACCTATTTTAGATATTTCATGTAAGTGGGATCTTACAATACTTGTCCTTATATGTCTGGCTTATCTCACTCAGCATAACATTTTCAATGGAACCATGGTGGCAAAGTGGGTTAAGCATTGGGCTGCTAACTGAAAGGTAAGCTGTTCAAACCCACCAGCTGCTCTAAAAGAGAAAGTTAAGCTGTCTGCTTTCATAAATAATTACAGCCTCTAAAACCCTAAAGAATAGGTCTACTTTGTCCTATAGGGTCGCTGTGAATTGGAATCAACTAGACCATGGTGAGATTTTGACTGTTTTGCTGCAGTGTTCAGGGTTCATCCATGCCAGAGTCTCCACTGGGATTTGATTTCTTTGTAGCTGAATGCTCCATTGTGTGTAGACTCCATTCGTTTATCCATGCAAGCTGTTGAAGGACACCTAGGTTGTTTTCTGTTTAATTCTTTGAGGAACTGTGTTTCACAGAGGTGAAACCATTTTAAATTTCCACAAGCAACAAAACAGAATTCCAGCTTCTCTCCATCCTTGCCAAAAAACCCAACAACAACAAGAAAGCAAACTCCCTGCTGTCCAGTTGATGCTCACTCCTGGGGGGCCTATGTGACGGGGCGACTGCCCTGTGAGCGTCCAAGACTATCACTCTCACGGGAGTAGAAAGCCCTGTCTTTCCAGCAACGAGCTGCTGGTGGTTTCCGACTGCTGACCTTGCAGTAACTGGCCCAAGTCATAACCACACAATATTAAATTTGCTAAAACAGGCTGGGGATTCAAGGAATTTTAATCGAATGAATGAGTAGTAGTATATTATGAATGCAAATAAAATGGTGATATTAATTAGGGAAATATATAAAGTACTATATAATAGCCACTCAGAACTGTGTTCAAGTATAGCACATTTACAGCAGTTTTCCCTGAACAGTAAAAACAATATTGAAGTCATATTGATTGACAAATGTTTTCCGGATTTGCATTGTTAATATAATGCTTTGAAGATTTTTTTCCTGTTCATGTCTTCATTCTTGAGTAAATGTTTAGATGTGAATTGAGGGAAAATTGGATCATTGGTGCTTAATATTATTGTAACGAGACAAAACACTATTATTTTAAGGTACAGCATCATATTCCAGCCCAAGAACAGTAAAGCTCATTGAAACTTGTTTCATCAGTAATTTGTAGAATTTTTAGTTAGAGTAATTAGTACCTTTGGTTTTCTTTGAGTTTAGGTTCTGAATATGACACCCAATGATGGCTTTGCTAAAGTGCATTATGGCTTCATCCTGAAGGCACAGAACAAGATTGCCGCAAGCATTCCCTTCTTAAAGGTAACTGGCATTGTCTTTCGCCTTTTCTATCTTCTGCTTCGTCTGACCGATCAGATACCCTTGAATATGCACTGTGGACTGACTGGCATACACTACAGGGTCTTTTTCATCATGAACAGGGCACACCCTCTGACCACGATATCCATATGCAGTCAGGATCCCACGCTGTTCTATAATGAAGAGTGTCAGGTGCAGAAATGCCAGTCATATGAGAAGAGACTATTTGGAAGAGATTGTGTGAGGAAATGTCTAAAGCTGCAGTAGTTTTTCATTTTTTCTCGTTAAATAATGAAAAGAGAGAGCAGATTCAGTGATACAATACTTAACGTTTGGACAATACATTAAATATTCCCTTTATAAATGATAGAGGGCTCAACTCGAATTTGAACAGGAATCATGGCTACTCTTGTAAAGTGCGATGATCAGGGCAGATGCACACGTCAATCCCAGAAAAGCCTCGTAGCTCAAGGTGTCCAAATTAAACTGTGCTACTATTTTTTTTCTCACATATCCAATTGAATACTTAACAATTGGTAATATTTAGTTAACTAAGGGTTGTCAAGTAGGACTTTTTATGATAATGGAAACTTTATTTGCACCATCTGGTATGACAGCCTAATAGAGCACTTAGTTAATGTAGGAGGACATTTGAATATTAGTCATGAACTTTGAACACAGCTTTCCTGCTTTACTGAGTGAGTGATGCTCCCCCTGTTCCATAATTTCCTTTCCAATGTTATTAAAATCAAATGACTTAGTAAAACTAATGGGCTTGTAATGTGCCTCAAAGATGCATTTTTTAAGGAAGAATTCCTAAATATTTAAATACTTTTGCCTTTTTTTAGCTTTTCTAAATTTATTCTCTTGTTTTAATACTTCTTTCTTCTCTTTTTAAAACTTTAAATCTTAGCTAAGTGTAGTTAAATGTTTACAGATGGGCTTTATTTAATAATTATTTTATTTCTAAAGATTCAAATTGGGTTAATTCTTCCATTCTCTATGTTTGTTAAAGGTTTTACATAAAAGTGAGGTATTTTGAATTGAGAGAAATATGAATTACGACTAGGTCTCTATCCCTTCAAACATCTTCGGGGAAGTTAAATATTTTGATTCAGGAATAAAAGCCTCTAGATGACATATGATCAGATGTGGAGAAAAAAATAAATTTGACAGAAACCTGGCCAAAGAATTTTTGTAGTGTTGAAATATGATTGCTTCCACAAAGAAAATTGTTAAAATATTGCATGAACTTTGTGAGCTCTTTCACTAGTAATTAATCAGAAATACATGGGTAAATTTGACTTGTGGTTTTTAATTTGAAATGTTGACCAATTGCCCAACTTCCTGACAACTGTTTTTCTGGTTCTTAGCTTTTCATATATCATTTAAAGATTAAGATGAATTAAGTCTAGCATTACTTCTTTCACAAATCCTCAAACGGCCTTTCCCTTTTTGTTAATTTCCCTTTTTAACCTTTCCTACAGGAAGGCATCGAATCTGGCGATCCTGGCACTGACGATGGGAGATTTTATTTCCACCTTGGGGATGCCATGCAGAGAGTTGGGGACAAAGAGGTAACTAATTTCTGAAATTATTTTTCTTTCTTACAGAGGATAAAACAAGAACAATATATTTCTAGGAAAAAGATACCATTGAAACATATTTTTAAAATAATTATTTGAAGGTGATGACTTAAATTCTTTAACTATTTAAATGTAATTATAGAAAAAAATTGTGTTATTTGGTTTCACAATGTCCTTTTAAACAAAGTACCTGAGTAATCACAAGGTCAGCCTTAAAATCAGTGTGTATATGCATGACCACACGTGTGTGTGTTTGTGTGTGTGTGTGTATGTGTGTGTAGATGTTACTTTGAAGCAGTATTTCTGAAACTATGAAATGAAGATATGTCTGTGAAATTGTTTAAATCTTAATATTTTAACAATTTATCTAGATTCACTTATTTGGAACTTTAAAAATATTTTTAGAATTCATTATATATTCAACTGATAGTATGTAGACTGTGTCTAATGGTTTATTATGTAATTGCCTTCTGAAACATTTAATACGAAGTTCAAAATGAGCCCTTGTTGCTATAATTTGGTGAGTGTTGACACAAAAATCATAGCTGGAACTGGCTGTATGGTTTCTTTTGGCTTTTTTTTTTAGTGTAATAAAGGCCAGTTTCTTAAGTATTAGCAGTCTATTATTAATCATGGCACCCTTTACCATAAATGTCTAAAATGTTTCAAGATTCAAAACCTTTCAAAACTTTCCTTGACAGCAGTGTTCTCTTTTTCTGTTCCCCACCCCTGTAGTGCTTTGTAGGCTGAACTTCCTTAGTGTCAGTAGATGAAGGGATATGTTGTTTGTACATTGAATCTTTATAAATATAAAGTTACATATATGTAAGAAAGTGACTTCTAGGGTACCACAGTTTCAGGTTTCTAAAATTAATAAGAACATGGAACCATTTTGACAAGGGTTCAGGAGGCAACTAGAGACATAAATGACTGAAACCTTTTAACGCATTTTAGTTTATTTATTTATTTTTTAAACATTTCAAAGCACTTTATTATTTAATACTTATTTTTAAAAAACGCTTATTTGTCGATAACAACATAAAACAAAATTTCTGTCACATAAATGATCATTTATAAACTAGAATTGACTATAACAAAATATTTTATAAAAGGGAAGATGTAAAAATGTTATAAAAAGGGGGGAGCACTAGTAGGTTCTAAGAAAGAATCAAAAATTTTAATTTTTGTTGCTTTATTTTACAAAATCCTTTCTCTTTCAAGTAATTATAAATTAGTTTTGTTTGCCCCATATCCAAATAATGAAATCTCGGAAATTATTTTTAATTATTAAATGTTGTCATTACTTGTAAAGGGTGAAAATTATTCACGCCATTATAATTTGTTCACATTAAATGAAGCAGATAGGCATCACATACTACCAGTTATCTTCTAAGAGACTAGTTTTAGTCGATCGTTTATGAATTTCCCCATTCTAATGCCTTCATAAATTCCTCTTCAGCGAAATACAGCATCTTGGCAGCTTCAATATGCATCTTCTGCCTTTTTAAAACATCAATTAATTTTAATTGTTTCTTGAACCCTATCAACTCTCCTTTTTGTTTTTCTAGTTTCTTGTTTTCTGATTTTAAAGCTTCAATTTTTTTCTGTTCTTCATTTGTTATATCCTTGTTATTCTGCTTTAACTTATTTAACTCCAACTTGTACTTTTCTGCTTCCTCAAGGGCTCTGTTCAGTCAAACTACTGTAGCACTTTGACTGGTGGCAGCTTGTTTCTGTAATCTTCTTTTATTTTCTAATTCCCATTCTGAAGACAATTGTTGCTGTAATCCATCACATTTTTTGTTTGCTTTTTCTGAAAGAATTTTATATTTTTCTATTTGAGACTGTTGTATATTAATCAGACGCTGTTGTCTCACACAATCATCTTCAAAATTCTTTACCTGGAGCTTTAAATCCTGAATTTCATTCTCCTTTTTATTGCATTCATGTACAACATTATCCGGTTCCTCCTGCATAACACGGAGATTGTCCTTTAGAAATCTGATCTGAGCCTCCATTCCAGTGTCTTTACTAACACCAGAGAAAATATCATCATCTACATATTCAGATAAGCCGTTTTCATCCAGTTGCCCTTCAATTTTGCTAATTGTTTTTGCAAGAGAAAAATCTGAGAAATCTTCTGGAATGGCAACATTGGCATTTTGTCCATCAGAGTATTTCAGTTTTATGCTTGGTTTTTTTTTCTTTCCATTATTTGTGGAGTGTAGTTTGTTTTGAACCTTGTTTACTGGAGCAGCATTTTTGGTCTTTGGCTTAGTTTCTGAATAAAGATGAATTGTCTCTTCAGATGATAACAGATCTCTTAAATTGTCATCATCCTTCTCTGCATAAGATTTAATTTGTGAAGCAGGCCGAGCTCGTACCTCTTGCTGATCTCTAATTACTTCCTCAGCTTGTTGAACCAAGTCAGCTGTTTTTGCCTCCAATTCTGCATTCAAACGTTGATACTCTTCCTTTTGGGCTAGGAGGTACCGTCCAGGTGCAGTGGACGGCTGTATGCGTGGCTGGCGCGGAGTCCCTGGGATGCTCCATCTCCGACCACCTCGTCCGGCCCGCATTTTAGTTTATTTTTGTGTATCCATTTTAATTTATCTTTTGCCTTCTAGCTTACCAGTCATCTGAAATAGCATTAGACATCAAGAGCAAATAGAAAGAAGGGCAAATACACGCTGCTTAGAAATAATCTTGTGTCCCTTCATTCTGTTAAGATATAAATGACCCATTACTTCTTTGAAGAAGAGATATGAGAATGATTTTGCTACAGTAGCTAACATTGGATAATGCTCACATGTGGTGTCTGAATATAATTATTACTAATGAATTGATCTGTGATAAATTTCAGAATCCAGGGCAAAGACAAATAAAAGGAGTCTGTGATTCATTTCACATTAGATGAAAACAGGTCTTACTTCAAGGGTAAAGAGTTTACTACTAAACACTTGTGAGAAAGTCTTGGAATTGTCATCTGTGGGACGGTTCTCCAGGCTTAATTATGAGTAATATACAAGGAAACTTCCTGCTCTTGAGTTTCAGAGTGCACAAGGCTTCATCCTTATAGGACATCGGAAAACAAGTCTGTGGTTCGGAAGTCGTGGTAATCGACCCTCATCTTGCTGCGATGCTTACAGAGCTCAGCTTCAGCTCCAAAGCTTCAGCCAGTGCTTCAGAAGCCAATGCCTTGGTGCCTCAGGTTGATAGTAATTCTGTTTTTCAGTCAGATGGTTTTAGAGGAGGAGGCATTTAGTATGGACAGGACAAGTTCTGTTTCAGTTATGCCCAATACAAGTATATCCTACTGCCACAGAAACAAGTCACTGTTGTCTTGCTCGCCACACATTCTTCCCAGTTCCCCTCTCTCCTTTGATGATGCTGTTAACTTTCCAGTAGCAAAATTTGGGTCCCCTTTAGTTCCTCCTTTTTCTATGAAGGCCCCCTTCCTTGCTCCCTTCAAGTCGGAAACATATTTTGGGTATTCAGCTTCCTTGTGTTTTTCACCTATGCCTCACAAGTGTTTAATTCCAGCCTTTATTACCTTCAGCCTTAAGGGTAGCCACAGTTGGCTACTCTTGTATCTCACATTATCCTTACTTGTGCAGTCCTCCCTGTGCCCAGTACTGCTTCAGTCCAGAGGCAGTAAAACCCTGTATCCAGGCAATGGCACTGACTACCTTTATCACCAGGCCTTGCTGCATACTACACTCCAGGCAGAATGGGCTCCAGTTAGGGCCACCTGAAACAAGCCCATTTCCCAGGCATATCCTGGGTGTTAACTGTATTTGTGTGTGTGTGAGAGAGAGAATGTGTGTGTGTGTGTGAAAAGTAGGGATGATAACAGTATAGAAGACATTGATATATAAAACACACTAAAGATAAGCCCCTCTACCTGCTCATTGTCTATGTTAAGTATTCCTGAATAGGGATATAAAAAGGGGAAATAATAAAAAAGAATTTTTCAGAGGAGGCTAATATACTCATTAATTTTCTAACAATTTTTCTTGTAAAGTGGTTTAGATTTTAAAAGAGTAAAAAAGTAAAATAATATAGTGATTGCATTAGGTCCCTTCCATTTAATTAAATTACAGATTTCTGATAAACCACTTGTCAAGATTTTCTTCTTCTAAAGTTAAATGGTAGTGGGGTGCAAAACGTAAGGTCATGTTTGATGCAATAGTACTTACTTTCAGTCTCATGTAAACTTTATCTGTGGTTCAGGCATTCCACCAGTGACTTGTCCAGACATTGAATATGGTAAATATTAAAATCTAAGAAAGGTTTTTAAGTCATGAAGTCTTGATTTGTTGTTTTTTGATCATTTTTTTCTCTCACGATCCTAACAGTAATTTTATTCTTTAAAAAATGGCTGTCAGATTTTCTAAATTTCATCTGTTGTCGTTATTATTGCTATTGACTTTAACAGAATGAATAGAAAATAAAATGTTATATTTAAATTGTATAAAAATAACTAAGATAGTGAAATACATTTCAAAGATAAAACAGTAATTAAAAAAAATCAGAACATAATTTCCATTTCCTGATTTTGTAGGATATTACTTTGTGGCTAAAATTGATATGTATTGCCGAGAAAACCTATGAGATTGATTAGTACATACATTATTAATTTGGGATATTACTGGAAAAGATGATTAAATAAGAAAATCACATCCAATGTTTTTTTTTTAATTTTAGTGATAAAAGGAAGGCAAGTAAAACAAATTTCCTGGAACCCTGGGTTCTAGTTGCGGATATATTTGGCATTTCTGAACCTCAGTTTCACGATTTGTAAAATAGATATATTTGGGACTATAGGAAAAGTCAAATGATATATATATATGGAAGCAAGTAGCATTGCTATTGTATTTCATTTTTTATTAAAGGAAACGGATATGAACTTGAAAGACTGAATTATTATTATTTATTTACATATAATGTCCTTTTGGAGTTTTATAAGGTCAATATTCAACTTGAAATGAAATATTTATTTTTATTGATCAAATCATGCATTTGAAATTGTTTTTCAAAATTAGATGAGACATGTGATAATGGAGAGGGGCACTAGTAGGTGAGCCCCTTAGTTCTGGAAACGATACACCCAACGAGAGCGCCATGTAGGAGCGTGACTCCGGGACCTCACTGGGAGCAGACATGGCAGCATTCTGCACCAGTTGTCCCTGGAAAGGCCAGGCCTCTGGACTTGAGCTGTATCACGTTGCAGCTAGCCTAAAGCTACAAAGGGTATCCTGTATTGAAAAAAAAATTTTTTTTAAAATATTTTTATTGGGGGCTCTTACATCTCTTATCACAATTCATACATTCATCCATTGTGTCAAGCACACATGTACATATGTGGCCATCATACTTTTCAAAGCATTTTCTTTCTACTTGAGCCCTTGATATCCGCTCCTCATTCCCCTCCCCCCCATGAACCCTTGATAAGTTATAGATTATTATTTTCATATCTTACATAGTCCTCTGTTGCCCTTTACCCACCTTTCTGTTGTTTGTCCCCCTGGGAGGGGGTTATATGTTGATTCTTGTGATCATTTCCCCCCTCCCCACCTTTCCCTTAATCTCCTGGTATTGCTATTCTCATGAAAAAAAATTTTTTTTAGCAACATTTTCTTAGTAAATCTAATATAGGCTATCACTGTACTTACTGTGAACTCAGAATATTTTCTTTCTTTCTACGTAAGTTAGTGGATGACTTGTTCTCCGTCACCTTGGGGTGGGCCTTCTAAAATACAGACTTGGAATTAAGGCACATGCCAAAAGAAACCCCTCTCTGAGGTATCATTTCAATTAAATGGAAATATCTGTGAAGAAATTATTAAAATTAGAACCCCCTCCTTTTTAAAAAAAGAAAATGTAAAATAGAATTTAAGAAATAAAAGCTAAAATATTAATATATTTCCCTTTGGTGTCTTAAATCATTTATCCAGTCATACTCTGGGAAAGACTAAAGTAGTTGAATCCTGTTCCCTTTATTCCGAGTTTACATTCTCAGAGCGAAAATATAATGTGTACATTTATTTATTAATAATCGATTGTAACTAGAAGCCTGATGGCATCGTATACAGATAGCATTAGAACAGAGTTAGATACCTAACTGGCAAGACAGTATTTAAATGTATCCAAGGGACACCTTACTGTTAGTGCTTATAATTTGAAATTTAGTAAAAATGCTTTATTTAGAGAAATGTTTGGAGCTCACCCTCTCTGTCCTTCAGGCATATAAGTGGTATGAACTTGGGCACAAGAGAGGACATTTTGCGTCTGTTTGGCAACGATCCCTGTACAACGTGAAAGGGCTGAAAGCTCAGCCATGGTGGACCGCACAGGAGACAGGCTACACGGACTTGGTGAAGGTAGGGTTAACTCGGCTGCTAGCCTCACTGGCTCTTTTGTGCTGTTGTTAAAGAATGTCCATCACGGTAAGGAATGCTAGACGGCATAACTTTTCTTCCCAGTGAAATTTGCCAGAGAGATTTGAAAGATAATCTCTTTATCCCATTAGGCAAAAGTGCATTTCAAATGGAGAAGAAGAACATTGACCGAGACTAGAAGTTGTCCATCTCTTTTACCTGAAGATCCTTTACACGTTTAAAAATTTTGAGGAGTTCCAGGAAACATTTGTTTATGTGGGTTATATCTCGCAACATTTACTGTACTAGAAATTAAAACAGGAAAATGTATTTATAAATTGCCTTAAAACTAATGATATGCTTATGTAAATAACTTTTAAAGTCTATATTATCCGAATTTTAGATGCAATAAAAAGATTGGAATTATTTTATAACTTTACAGATGTCTTTCATTTCTAGCTTATTATAAACCTCCAACTACTACGTCACAGTATAACTTCTGGAAAACTCCACTGTATGCTTGTGTGAGATTAAAGGGAAGGCGGCAAGAAGCCCTTCGTAGTGATAAGAAGTTGCTCTGGTCTTTCAACTACCCTGACCGAGTCTCAGGAGCTCCCAGTGTCCCTGAATCAGTCTTTGCGAATCACTGATCCTAAGGCTATGGGACAAAAAACAAACCAAAAAACCCCTCAAAAACATATATAAGTATGTTTAGACAATGTTATGGCAGGTATACAGTAAAGAGGGTGATTTGAATGACTTTAATGGCTTAAAAAATCAGAAACCTTTAGTAAATTCACACTATCAGACTTTATAATGATTATGCTGGTCTAAATTTATTTTTGCTTAGGTAAGGCCCTTCTTTTTAGACACATTAAGAAAATATGAAATAAATTAATTCATGTTTTTAGTAATACTTCAAAATATTGAAGATGTCATCTATTTTACAAATTATATTGGTTTTAACAGTCTGGCCCGAGCATGTAGCTGTCTTTTATGAATTGTTTATAAAGGAAAGTATATTCTGCTTTTCAAATAAATTATTTCACATCTGAGAGAGGGAGGGTTGGGGAAATAAGAGTGACAGAGTATTGATAATTCTATTATCTGAGTATTGGGTATCTGAGGGTTTATTATACTTTTTCTTTTCCTTGGGAAAATATTGAGTAATACAGGAAGCATCAAAAGAATTGGCTAAATTATGGACACTATCAATAATGGAAAGAATTGGCTAAATTAATGACACTATCAATAGAATTACCTTGTGCCCGGAAGGATGATGGGTAATGTTCTATAACATAATATGACAGTGATGTCTCTAAGGTGACCAGAGACACATATAAACCATAGATATATGAATGGCTTGCGGGCTTCCACTTAATCCTAGCTCCAACCTAAGAACAGTTTGTTCTTATGACATGGCCCTACTTGATGCTCACCCTCATGAAGAGATTTTTGAAGATATAGGTGCTATAGCAAATTGGTAAATAAACTAGATGGAGCATGTGTCAGAAATAATAGCCTCTGTGGTGTTAAAAATTTGTCTGCCAACAAGCAGCTATATGAGTGTGTTAGGGTTCTCAAGAAAGATAAAACCAAATTGCTGATAATTTAATATATTTATTTATAAAGATAATTAG